GCCCTACCACCGAGTGTGAGAAGATATTTGCAGATCATATATCCACTTAGGGGTTAATATCAAAAAATATAAAGAACTCATACACCTCAACAACAAAAAAACAGAAAACCCGGTTAATAAATGGGCAGAGGAGCTGCATAGAAATTTTACAAAGAAGGCATATAGAAGGCCAACAGATACTTGAAAAGATATTCAACATCACCAATTATTAGGGAAATTAAAATTAAAACCCCAATGAGATATCACCTCATGCCTGTTAGAATGGCTATTATCAAAAAAGCAAGAAATAACAAGTGTTGGTGAGGATGTGGAGAAAGGGGAACCCTCATGCACTGCTGATGGGAATGTAACTTTGTGTAGCCACTATGGAAAACAGTATGAAGATTCCTCAAAAAATTGAAAACTAGTGCTACCCTATGATCCAGTTATCCCACTTCTGGGTATTTATACAAAGAATATGAAAATACCAATTTGAACATGCACCCCTATATTCATCACAGCGTTATTTACAATAGGCAAGATGTGGAAACAACCTAAGTCCCCATCAACAGATGAGTGGATAAAGAAGATGTGGTATACACACCACACACACACACACACACACACACACACACACACACAATGGAATAATAGTCATAAAAAATGAAATCTTGCCATTTATGACAACATCAATGGATCTTGAGAGTATTAGGCTAAGTGAATTAAGTCAGACAAAGACAAGTATCTTATGATTTCACTCATATGTAGAATATAAAAAAAACCCAGAAAACCAGAGTAAATGAACAAACCAAACCAAGCAAAACCCAACATGTAGATACAGAGATCAGAATAGTGGAGGGCTTCCCTGGTGGCGCAGTGCTTGAGAGTCCGCCTGCCGATGCAGGAGACGCGGGTTCGTGCCCCGTTTCGGGAAGATCCCACATGCCGCGGAGCGGCTGGGCCCGTGAGCCATGGCCGCTGAGCCTGCGCGTCCGGAGCCTGTGCTCCGCAAATGGGAGAGGCCACAACAGTGAGAGGCCCGCATAACGCAAGAAAAAAAAAAAAAAAAGTCTAATATTACATTTTACTTTTTTTCCCTTAAAATTGTATGTTTTAATATACTTTCTCCACAGAAAGTGGAGTATATTGACACAACTTCTGACCAGTATAATGTGGCAATGTCTTTCAAAATGAAAAAAAAAAAAAAAAAAAATAGTGGAAAGGGGCAGGGGAGGGTGAAATGAATAAAAGAGATAGTGATGGATAGAAACTAAATTTTTGGTGGCAATCATACTGTAGTGTATATAGAAGTAGAAATATAATCTTGTACATATGGAACTTATATAACGTTATTAATCAATGTTACCTCAATAATATTATAGTAAGATATAAATACTAAAACCAATCATTTTAATTTGAGAAAGCATCTTTTTGGTATCCTTGTAATAAAAGTGAGATTAAAGTTTGGTATAAGCTGGAACTTTGCAGGTAAATTAAACAGCGATAAAGAAATTTAAAAAAAACCCTGGAATTATAGAAAACCAATTTATCCACCTTACAGTTTATCTCAGGGCTATCCATAATCCAGGCATTATTTTATAAGAATGTTAGCTACTTTGCTTCCTTAATATTAGTTGGGGTCACTGAAGGAGTGCAGCACAAATCTACAATTTTTTCTAAAATAAACACCTGCAAATGTAGAACAAATGGAATTTCTTATTTCCAGCATGAAAGGAGGTTTCAGGTACCCTATAGCATAGAAGGAGAATTTGATTAAGGTCTTCCTTTGATTACAGGCAATTAGAAAATCCACTTACTTAGATGAACTGTTTATTCCTAATACTTACTCTCCATAGAATTAGGCTTGATGAATTTTATATCAGAATCAGAAATGAAAGGGTCATTTCACATAAAATGTTTTCTTTTCTGTATAGATAATTGGTATTTTCAGTGACCTTTTCTGAATAAAAAAAAAAAAAACTGGTTTAGGGGACTAGCCTCCTCTACTTAATATAAGTGCAAGGAGTTATTAACTCACCACTGGAAAAGAAAAACTTGGTCTTTGTGTGTAGAAAAACTTGGTCTTTGTGTGTAAGTCACAATCCAATGTTTTCTGAAAGATATTTACTCTTCAGAAGATTAAAACAAAATAATTGAAAAATACATATTTCCTATACAATATTCATAATGAGTTTTCATAATAAAATAATTATGAATAAGGCTATATGCCCAGGGCTCTATTATAATTAAAAATTACCAGTGTTTGATTTTCACATTGATTTGAGAGAGAGCATTCATAGAGGAGACTAATGTACCACACACCTTACTAGCTCCTTAAAGTAATTATAATAAAGTCTAACTCTTTAGTTTGGAATTCAGGGGCTTATGCAATTGACCTCATCTATTTTTAGATTATTTCATATCTCTTCTGTGGGAACCCTCTGCTCCAGCTACACTTGTTCACTTCCTCTAGGCACACACAAGGCTTTCCTGCTTCTTTGCCTTTTGCATGTTTCATTGGCTACACCTAATATCTCTTCTCTTTCAGGAAATATACTAATACCAAAACTGATCTAACTCAGAATATTTATTATCAAATCTCATTTTTCAGTTAATACACTTAATCACCAAGCAAGTATATATCGATCACTTGCTAGGTCCGAAACAATGCTAGATGCTGTAAGAAATATAAGCAATCATCTCTGAATATCCCATGGGCCAAAGGAAAAATGACAGTGGAATTTTGGAAATATGTTGAATTAATCTATGATGAAAATATCACACTGAAACTGGAGATGCTACTAAACAGTGTTTACCTGAAATTTATACTCATTAAAAATATTCATTAGAAAAGAAGAAAGGCTGAAAAGCAAACATTTAAGAAGAAAATAATTTTTAATTTATGTTAAAATTTTCATGAAACCCAAAGAAAGTAGAAGAAAGAGAAATAAAAAATGTAAATGCAGAAGCTAAAGAAATAGAAATTAAATAGTACAATAGAAAAAGCAATAAATCCAAATTAGATTCTCTATAAAAACTGAAAAAACTAATAGACCCTTATGTAAACTTATTAAGAAAAAAAGAGAAGACACAAGACATTAATATCAGAAAATTAAAAGGAGTCATCATTACAGATTCTACAGATAATTAAAAAATAGAAATATTTCCGAGTGAGTTTGAAAATTTTAATACAACTGATATTTTGAATCTTTAATTTTTCACCAAGGAAAAGTCTAGCCAGGTGGCTCCACCGGTGAATGTTTTTCAGACATTTAAGGAAAAATTAATGCCAATCTTGTACCAAACCTTCCAGGAACAGAAAAAGAGGAAACATTTTATGGAGCTCATTTTATGGAGCTAGAATAACCTTGATACAAAAACCTAGCAAGGAACAAAAAAGAAAGGAAACATACAGGTTAACTTCTCTTGTGAACATAAGGGCACAGATCTAAACAAAATATTAGCAGATCTAGTCTGATATTATATGAGAAAGACAAAATGGAACCAAGTTGGTTTTATTTCTAGACTGCAATTTCAAAATTCAATGTAATTAATCAGAATAATAGAATAAAGGGAAATTATACTTATCATAGAAGATGCATTTGATATATTTCATATTATAGTAGAAAGAAACTTCCCTATTCTGATAAGATATATACAAAAACCATTAGCAAATATTATACTCAATGGAGAAAAATGGAAAGATTTCTCCCTGAGAATTGGAACAAGACAAGGATGTCTGCTATCAGCACTTCTATTATGCATTGTACTGGATATTCTAACCAGTGCAATAAGGTGAGAAATAGAATTAATCAGTACAAGAATAAAAAAGTAAAAAATAAAACTATTCACAGGTGAAATTATCTGCTTGAAAAATTCAAAAGAATATACAGTTGAACTATTACAACTGAGTGAATTTAGCAAGTTTTATATAAAAAGTCATTTTTTCCCTTACTCTGTCTCTAGTTCATGTCATTAACTTTTTGAAAAGATCATGAACTCTGTAGACACTTGATTTATATAATTGTTTCTTCAGAATATTATTTAATATGTTCTCTATATCATATATTTGATTAACCTGAAAGCTTAATCTTTGGCTTAACTTGATTCCAGTTGGCTGCTTTGGCAAGAATACTTCAGAGGTGATACAGTTGTACATCACACTGCATGTCATGAGGAAGCACAGAATGTCTGGATGTCCTATTGTGAATGAGTGGCTTTAAGTTTCTCAGTGGGTTAAGTTGGTGACAATCACATTTCTTCATTTCCAAGTTGCAGTTTTCCCCATGCAACTCTTGGGGGTGATACCTGGGTATGACGGCAATATCCAGTTCCCCATTCATCCTTCACCTAATAGTTGCTAATATCCTCTGAAGATCCTTACTTGAATCAGGTTTTTCAGTACACTGATTTTGTATGAATCATTTCTATTTTTTGGATCTATAACAAGGTAAGCAGATAATACTCCACCGAGAGTAGTAAAATCTCAGTAGTTCATGGGAAGCAGCACCTAAGTGATAATTCTTATTTCTTTTTTGGTTACTTGTGATTTGGAATGACTTCATTTAATATTTAAGCAACTCTCAAGCATGACTACACTGTCCTTTGAGTTGATTAAGCAACATTAAGCTTGAATTTAAGGAGCATCTAGTTGACATTTTCAAGACGCTAAGTGGCTCCAGCAATTACCTGGAATGTAAGTCGATTAATCATAATCCTGTCAAGCGGAATTCTTCATAGAGCTTGTTTATCAAAGCAGAGTATAGAAGAATAAGATAGAAAACAGTGTGCAACGACTAGTAAGAAGAGGGCAAGGGATTCTTTTTTTCTCTAATTCTTTAAGAGTAGATTTATAATAGTAGGTTTCAGTTGGATTTTAGAGAAGTGAGAAATATTGAAAAAGCTTTAAAATAGGTTGTTTAGAAGAAAATTTTGGCATTGAATGAGTTACAAAATGCCTTTTCGAGCAGAAGCAGCATTTACATCTGGAATTTTATTTAAACCTTATCTCTGCTTTGCAGCTGTACCTGGAAAGAAGGAAGAGAAAACAACCAAGACAGTGGAGCAAGGTAAAAAAAAATGAAGGAGGTTGACATTATCTTTAGAAAGACAACAACATGAGGAGGAAAGCACTGGATTCAGACAGGCGGACGACAATAACCTTTAAATCGATTGCTCTCTTTCACTGTCCTTGCGTGTTTTTCTGTGCCAGGGAGAATGTGAGGTGGCAATCTGGGTTTTTGTTCTTTTGTATAACTAAACTCTGAGTGTAAGTTCAGAACAGGAAAGCTCCACAGACTGCTTAATTACATCAAGAGAAATGCTGAAGATTGTTGGGAATAAGGAAATCTTCCAGGGCAATTGGTAGTCATTTATTTCTGTTTGATTTGTGGTTTTAACACCACCTGACTGATCATAGTGTAAAGAATAGAGGTGACACAATTCTGTTTATGCAAAAACAATTTCTACTGCTTGAAAAGTAATATGTTAAAACAAAGCAAAAAACCAGCAATACAGGTAAATTACTTGCGTTTATATTACGACTTCAGCAGTTGATTCTCCCAAGAGGTCTAAAATTTCAGTGTTATAAACCATAATGCCATAAATAATGCATTTTCTTTTTTTAATGCAGCTACATAATAAATATATCATTTTAGAATATGCTTGAGAAAAATGCTACAGCAGAGTAGAGTAAAAGCATTTGAAGTGATGTTGGGCCTTCTGTCAGAGCTCACAGTGCTAATAATTTTAATTTTTGTTCCCCCCACTCTTTGGCTTTTAATATATTATAATATTATAATATGTATTATTTATTATAATAGATAGATGAAATTGGAACTAGCAATAATTTTGTCAAGAATGAAATCAAAATCATTTCTCCTCTTAAATTTGAGACAAATTCCTAATATCAGAAATTAGATATTTTTACATATATATATCAAGAAAACCCTTCAAACCTTCACATTTCAGATAAGTAAACTAAGGTTAAAAAATTCATCAAGAATTTATTTCCTTTGGTTTTTCAAAAGAAAAATCACATTAAATCACATTGAATAAGTTTTCAAATTCATTTTGGCTTCTGTGGACTACCTGGACTTTTAGAATTCAATAAAATGTTTCTGTCAACTTCTTTTTGAGGTGTATACTTTAGTCTCTGAAATATAAAGTAGAGCTCTAGGAGCACAGATCCCAATTTCAACTTGTTGACTTAGACAAGGTTCTGAGCCTAAATTTCTTCTCTAAAAAATAGAGTTAATTCTACCTGACCTGCCTGTCTGACAAGATGTGGAGTTCAAACAAGAAAACGTATGTAAAAGGATATGAAAAAATATAAACTCCTAGTTAAGTATATAGTATTTACTTAGGCATTTTTCCTTATAAAATCAGCTTCAATATAAATGAGAATCAAAACACTTTGCTTTCACTAAGCTTCATAGTTTTTCTCCCCTCTAGTATAAAGGCGTTGGTTACTCATCTTACAGCATTTGCAGATTGTTTTTATAGCCACAGCAAATTAAGAGAAGACTGACTAGAATATAAAATGTCCACATTAATAACAGTACCTAACATATAACTGATTAAGCTCAGATTGTTTATGTGTTCTTACCTTCATGTTGGTGTCAGTTTCGTTAATTCTATAATGTTGCCTCAAATAGTTTGGAGACTGGAAATGGCTTTTAGGGATGTGAATTTACTCCTTCAGATTATTTTATAATTCATTCTTTTTAAATCATAAGAAATAAGGTATTTGGATAACTTGCATACTTTTGCGGTGGTATATCTATGACTAATAATTTATATGAAAACATATATTTTGTGATTTTAATAAATCAAGGAATTTATGATAATAAATCAATTACATTCTACAGATTTCATCATAGTATTCTAATATTTATACATAAGATGATGCTTTGACTATTGTGTATTTCTCTTCCTTACATAGTTTTTAGTTATTTTCAGAAGTATAAATAATCTAAAACTAGTTCATAATTCTTTGAAGTACAATTAAATAGTTTATAAAGAGTTATTTTCATTTAAGATTTAACTTATGGACTTGTACTAGGGAAAAACTATGACACTCATAATTCTTAATAGATTTCAAATACACTGTGTGATCTATGTAAAACTGTGTACACTGAACCTCTGAACTTAGTCTGCATTATAGTTGTACTTGGGAAACATCGATTAAGCTAAACTTTACATTATAGAAAATTCATATAGTGAAAGGTGAAATAAATGTTATGTTTATGTAATTTAGTGAATTACACCTTATAACGTTTAAGAATTAGAAATTTAGTTAATCTAACCTCTGCAGAAGTCCAAAGAAGTATCTCTATTTTATCTTTAATTCATGATGGATCATGTGGTTTTTAGTTTTTCTTCTCATAAAGATCTTAAATTGGCTAGACCAGAATTTTGAGTATTAAGAAACTCTTTATAAATTTTCAAACACACACACACACATACACACCCACACACACCACAGACACCATTACCGATTTCTCTTGTTTAGAAAGCAATTACCTAGAAGCATCAGGAGACACAAATATTTTCCACAATGCATGTTGCTCTCCTTATAGTAAGAGCCAAGGAATGCCAAAGATAAAACTTCACAACACGTACTACTGTATGAAGATTTGTCTTTATATATTTGTATATTATATCTAGAAAGAGTACATCACATTTCATTAAGCTTGGTTTATTTATTGTTTGGTATTTAATTTCTCATTTTTAGTGTACTTTTTCCTCAGTATTACTCTTCAAAATTGACCTGTCCCCCTAAATCCAATTTCCCTCTCTCTTTTTCAATCTTGTTTTCTCTCAGAAGAAAATTTTTCATAGTATTTGCTTGTTACTAGCCAGAGGATCAAAGCAGTCACTCTAGGGTAGTGACTTCTTACTGTGGCGGGGAAGGAGACCTGTCAAGACAACTAACTTTAATGATATGAGTTGTAGATTGGAGTCCCAGCATCTCCTTGTTTCTAATATTTTTCCTTCAAAATGATTTCAATCTAACAATGAAAAGGTGAAGAAGATAGTAATGAATCAAATCATTCACATATCATCTTTCTTTTTCTTTCATTCATACCTGTGCCTGATATTACTTAAAGCTTTCTTTAAGAGTTTGTTCTAAGGGCCTGTAACAGTGCTGGCATGTAGGAAGTGTTCAAAAAATACTTGTGGGTTGAATGAAAACATAGAGGAATTGTGGAAGAAAAGAATACTAGGTGATCCAGATATCGATGATCTGTGCCTCTAAATACTGTACAATTAAGATACTTTAGTAAATCAAATGTGATTTCTGATAGCAAAGATTGCCAGATATTTCAGAAACCAGGATAAGTGATTAAATCATCTAACTACTCTCATTTTAAAGTAAAACAAGTAGAGCAAATTAATAATTAAATATGCATTATTCATTAATTATATCATTATTATGATCTTTGTAGGTGGTACTCTTACATAACAAAACAGCATGTGGTGAACCATCATATGGATAAAGACATCGAATAAATTAAATTTAGCAATTGCACCTTCTATATTGTAAATTTTTAAAAATCTTAAAATGAGAGAAAATTTAATAATTGCCCAATTAGGCCAATGTGTGTCTAAATATAGAAACGTAAGGCCTTATCCTCACTTTTCTTGGTTTTACATTATAGAACTGAATTAGATGATCTTCTATTCCTTTGAATCATAAAAAAAAAATTAAGTTCAACAAAGTTTTTAAGTAGTATGTCCCTTATATCAGAATATAAAGGCTCTTCCTGATGTAGGAGAAGGCTGGTCTAGAAAGACTTTTATTTCTAGGATTCTAAGACTCAAATGTTAAGGGAAAACACACTTTATAAACTTGGATATTTCAGTATTCCAAAATTAAACTGAAAATTTCATTACAGAAACATTGGTTATAGTTTTCCATCCTCTTAACAATTAAAAATCACTTCAAAATCCACTTAAGTACAAACATGACAAAAATATTCATGAAAAATGATTAAATAGAATTTGAGTACCTATTAACCGCCAAGAATAACTTTGAACACAATTAGTAATCATTTTATTAAGGGTAAAATTGGAGCATATGGATCATAAATGTATCAAATGCAGTTCATTTCCTGTAATAAAACTTATATTTTGCTTTTAATTAAGAAATCTTTTTAAATTCATAAGTGCCGTAATTTGTGTCCACTTGAAGACTTTCTGTTTTTCTTTGCCTTTGTTGCTATTTTGTAAACAATGGTACCCTACGTAATTGTATTAGTGTTTTAAATTGTCACAACAAGTGAAACCCAACTGATATTACATGGTTTGTGTGTTTGTCATTGTCCTCAGACACTTTTCAGATTCTTCTATTCTTTGTACATGTACTGGTCTATTTAGAATCTGCGATGTGTATTTATTGTAGATTGATCCCATACTTTCAAGTGAATATTAATAATATCTAAGAGTAATGATTTCTCTGAGAGAAACGTATTTATTTAAATAATAAATGTTTATACTTCATGATGTGTCAACACTATAAAAAAAGAGAGAAACAGTTTTACATTTAAGATCAATGTAGTAAAACTGAAGGTGTAGTTGATACATATTGTATTTAATTATTTGCTTAATATGTGACTATAAAATAACCTATTTGCACATGTGGACTAAGTCATGCTGTTGACCCTCAATAAATGTTAAAGTATAATAACAATAGTATTGATTCCTGTGAATTCCAAACTTTTGACAATAGTTTGTGCTCTGGTTGTTTAATATTTACTGAGCGCCCACAACAGACTAGGCGCTGGGAATGGGTGTGAGGAGTATCGAGTGGGCTTTGGAGAGAAGATGGTCTACATACAGAGCTCATGCAACGCTTGTAAAAATGAGTGTACTCTGCTTGCTTACATATTTTATATATTTTCAAGTGAACTTTTTGCAATTTTCCACTATCTCACTTGCTCACATAACACATTTCACTACTACTTCTTACTTTTATTCCATTTAATACTTTTAGAATGTTCTCATAATCATTTGATCTCATGTATGGAAATTTCTTTCTAGTCCCTTCTTTTTCACCATGTTCCTC